CTGTCCATCAGACTTCCCACGTTGGTCTATCCTCCGGACTTAAAATATACTAAAAACAGACGTGTCAGTTTGATCTCCGTTTTAATAAGCCTTCCAGTACCACTGATTCTTCGCCGTCTAACGGTGGCACGCGAAGCACTGACCCGTGAAAATCAAGCGGCATTTTTACGGGGTAGAGGCTGTGTTGACATTTTCACACCGTCGGGTGTCAGAGCAACGCCACGTGTATAGACGAATCGTAATCTTGGTGTCCCTTGACTTCAAGGGTGAGTTCGATTCTGTCGATCGGTTAGTGCTGTTAACTACACCTGCTCATCAGGATATGCCAAAGTTTGTGAACGTCATCCGATCGCTATATTCATATACTTCTGAGCGTGTGAGTGTATGGTGAGCACTCCAAAAACTGCCCTGCAACAAGTGGTGTCCGACAAGGATGCCCATTCTCTCCGTTCTTGTTCAACTTCGTCATTGATGAAATAATGAGGCAAACGCTCGAAGGTCTCCTAAACCCCGGTGTTCAAATTGTTGCTAGTAAGAACCTTGTCGATCTGGAGTACGTAGACGATGTCACCCTCATCTTTCAAGACCAAGGCGAAGAAAATACCATACCGTCATCTTTCGGCACGCACCCAGCACATTCAAGGCGCAAAGTCATGCTTCATAACGCCCAGCTTTTGAACGTACCCCTTATAATTCAATGCGAATCGCTGTAGGTTGTGGAGAATTTCGAATGCCCCAGTAGTTGTATTAGGTCTGACAGAAATGTGTCTGATGAAGTCAGTGTGTTAATCTTAAACGCTGGAACCACGTTTGCTAACTTGCGTCACTTGTGGCTTCAGAAGGGTATATCACTGGATCCTAAGGGTCGCGTGTACCAGGATACAGTAAGGGCTGTTGTACGACTGCGAGACGAGGAGAGATTGTGTGAGGCATCTTCATGTTTTTGACCAACGATGCTTCACAGGTGTTGCCGGTTTTGAATGGCTTCAACGGATCAGTAACGAGGTGATTAGAAAATGGGCGGATACTTCAGTCACGGAAAACATCCAGCACCGTCGAATACGATTGCTCGGCTGCATGATACGTATACCGAAACGCCGTCTGCCGAGACGAGTGTTCTTCTCCGTAAATCATTCAGAATGATGCAAACCACGAGGTGGATAACGTATAACTTGGCAGGTGTGAAAGATATTAGAAAAAGTTCGAGTGTTGCTGATGTTGTGCTCCTTCCGGGATGGGGTATTTGTGACCCCGCCTGCGCTCGGCTGGGGACACTGCAAGAAATAGCGGCTGATTGGTGTCAGTAGCGTTCGTGTTGCCAGTTTCTTTTCAGATTGTCCGATTGAGCGATTGGAGGTCAGACATGTCAGAATGCTTGACACAGGTCAGCACCAGGTTCCCTTTCTCATCCACTCTTTCCCCTTTTTTCACTCAGAGGCGTTAAATAGAACTAGGCAAACCTTATGGTTGTACGGCAGTGGAGCATCGGTCTCAACATTGGTGTTGCCGTCTCTGATGATGATTGTCGTCTACAAAGGA